GCGAATTTTGCCTAAATTTCTGGATCAGGGTGTGATATTTCAATAAAATTCGCAGCGTTCAAACGGGTTCTTCCATCTATTTTTTTTTTGAAAACTCCAAATTTGACCACGACTTGGTCATTTTTTTTTTTTTTGGTTGCTCATTAAAAATGTCCGATAGAGTAATGAAGCCGTATTTCCTCAGCAAGCAATGCATGACGAAGGGAACCTGTTTTGTTTGGTGTTCACTTGTCCTCAACCAAAATTTCTGAGCAAAAATGCCCATACAAGAGGGTCAAGTACCATTATCCGAGTGGACAGTGCTGACCTCGTGCAGGGGGAAGGGAAACGGAACTGGAGGGGAGGGGAAGTAGAAACGATACGTTTTATTGTCCCACACACTTCATCTTTTCAACTTTTTATGGCTTAGGTCACTTGCTCATCATCTTAGTTGTATAGTTTCGTTTGATGTGCCTTGTTGTATTTAGTTAGTATTGTAAAATGGAAATTACAATAAATTTAATTTCTTCTGCTTTTTTCCACATGCATTTGCTGATTTCAGCCGAACCGTTTTTTACTTTTCTATATTTTGTTTTTTGAGCAGTTACTAAAACTCGGCTCGGCTCGGCTTGGCTGATGTCTTACACGGTCAGCAAAAAATTTTTTCTGTGGAGGACGGGTAGAGTTTGCTCATGCAGCCCTATGCTACGAATAGAGTGAGGGCTATTGAAACCTAAAGCGTACCGGCTGCCGGTACAAGAATGCGTTTTTTGCGCAGTTCCCCCGCAGGTTTTTTTCGCCAGTGGCACGCTCTTCACGGCAGATGTTTCCAGCTAAAAGATTTGTGACTGGCCGCCACGACCGTTAGAATTTATTACAATGACTTCCATGCATGCCCAAAAATTCAGCGTTCTGGATGCTTCGGTTGCGGAGTTACGCCAAATTCCATGTATTCGTACGTCAGTAGCAACGTGAGTGTTCTCTTCGCCCGCGATTACTCAAGCACGGCCCTGGGTAACGCTCAGAAAGTTTAAGCACCCCAGCTGCTCTGGTTGCAAAGTTACGTCAAATTTCACGTGCTCGTACGTGAGTGGCAACGTGAATGCTTTCTTCGCCCGCGGTTACTCAAACACGGCCCTGGGTAACGCTCAGAAAGTTTCAGCACTCCAGCTGCTCTGGT